CCCCCCTTAATTCAAGCTGGAGAAGATCTCCCGGGTTACACCTGTCTAACGCTTGTTGGACCAGGTCGGAGACAGACCCCATGACATTACCGTAGAAATTTCCATAATTTACTTCAGGCTCTTGATCGATATTTAACAAGTGTCTTATTTCAAAGTTGTTGAATCTTGCTCTAGTCACGGTTGTTGTTTCAGCCGGTGTTTGATCAGGTTCATGCGCGACTTGCTCTGGTGAGGAAGAGGAGGGGGAAAGCTGTTGATCATCTTCTGGCTGATTCTCTTGTTCATTGTGAGCGTTATCGTGGGAGCCCGAACCTGTCTGGTGTTGAGATGAGTGTATTCAGTCCAGCAGATTGTTTACAGCCTCTTCTAATTAGTCAAAATCAGAGGCGCTTGCCTGGTGTAGAGGAGAAGTATCTGGTGAATCGTAACCCCCATCTTGTGTCGGATCCCTGTAATTGTACTCTGAGGATGTATTTGGCGAATTGCCTGAGTTGCTTTGCGGGCTAGTGTTTATCAGTAATCTGTTTATTAATGCGTCTAATTGATCAAAATGAGCTGCGTTTACGAGTCTGTCTCGCGGTGGTGTATTTTGCTGGTTTTCTGAATGGTGACTGATTGGGCTATTTTGACTTTCGCTGAAAAAAACCCTGTCACTCTGCTCACGTATTCTATGCAGGAGGCTGTTTACTGAGAATTCTAATAGAACAAAATCTGAAGGATTAACCAGTAGTGGAGGTAACGGGTGGTTTTCTGGTGAATTATTTATCACCAAGTTATTAATCAAGTCATCTAACAGATCAAAATGAGCTGAGTTTACATTCCAGGCTGACATTATCCTTAATGCACCCTCTAACACAAAGAAATACAGAGCTGAAATACCTTTGATTGCAATAGATTTTCCTAAAGCACTTATGTCAGTCTATGTCAGTCTATAAAGGGAAGACAATAAACAAGTTAAGGTCATGGCCCAAGAGAAGGAAGAGAACCAAGCCCTGATTTACATTTTATACAGTATGTGTATTTAACACTGCTCCGCCCACACGTCCTGTGATGGGTCCTCAGCTCCACCAGTATTCAGGACAACCAGCAACTAAGCTTTTAAAAAGAAGAAAATGTGTCTCCCATAGAATGGTGGTTGAGCTTAAATTACCCTAGTTGTTCTGTAGAGTGTAAAGTGGTGAGAATAAAGCAGAGGGGGGTGGGTTTTATGCTACTGGCTGTAGTAAGCATTGTCATAATGTAGGCTAAGGCATCTTGGGTGGGGTCTTTGCCTTTTGTGCAAATTCTGTCAGTCTGGATAAAGGTCTTGAGGGGTTTCACAAGATTTAATGTCCTATGTTGTGTGAGTGGTCTATACAAAGACACTATCATAAAACCATCAAATTTTATAACAATCAAAAGTGAGAACCCCCGCCATAAGACACTGGTCATACCAGACTAAGTACTGCATAATCTCTGAAAGGGACAGTAACAAATGCTGTGAATGCAGGAGCCTAATGAAATTAATTTAAATGAATAAGGTCACAGTTTGTAGGCAGGTCAGTTTATAGCAACCAACGCTTCATACTGACAAGTAGCTACAACAACTTGTAATGTTGTTTGCTGCAGTAGCTTCACATTAATGCAGAAGCTCAAATGGCAGAATTCTCTATCAAGCCACAACAGTCATATTTACTGATGAAATAAAATAAATGTCATGAAATGGCAATTATAATCTACTCTGATGGACTATTGCATTTTAAATTAGTGTGTGCGGTACTATAGATATTACCTTGGTTGAACTGTGATGGAGTACTTTACTGGACTCCAGGAATTTGCATCAAAGCTACAATATATGGGAAATTAAACATTTGTTGAGATGCACCTAGGGCTCAGTGATTGAGGCTGTGCATTCTTGCTGACTAGAGCATGTGGTGGCTGAGCACGGAGGTCTGTGCCAGCTGGCTCGGCGGCTTTCTGTGACGGGAGGCTTGACATATGATGCTGAAAAAAAACAACCCGACTAGCTCCAGGAACCACCATCTTTACTAAATAGGGATGGGCATTTAATTATCATGTGGTGAAAAATATTCTGGTATAGTGATGTTTCACCGATTGAAATTCTTTGTCTCTCACACACTGGCTGAGGTTATGTCTTGTCGTGAAATACAGCACATCACAGTGATCGGGTCTTTGTCATTAGTGTTTTAAATGACCTGAGGAAAAGATGGAGAGGATCAATATCTGCAATGGCAGCCTATGAAGGACTGGTCATGACAGATCAATCTGGCTGGGGATGTTTTATGAAGGAAGGAAGAACCAGGATTCAGATTTCGTCAAAATCTTTCTGTTGCTGTAATTTATGTTCAGCAGCACCGTTAACTCCTGTCTTTTGTTTTTTGCTAGACACTTTTAAGCCACACTGGCGTCGGGTCAGTCAGCCACCATCTCCACAATATTAGATCGATTGTAATTACATTTTCTGTCCCAATCTGATATTCAAAAAGGAAAAAATGATTCATTTTGTTCTGGAGAAAGAAGTGAACCGATGTTTGACAGCGCTAGAGCTTGAATCAGCATGTACACCCCTGGTTGACTTGTGTGCAGTGCATCAAAAGCAGCAAGTGAGGGAGATAATGCTGACACAGAGCAGTCTGGACTCACACTTCAAGAAATAGCTGTCCAAAAATGTTGCTGTTTCATTTACAGTTGTGCCTTAAAGTACATTTTTACCCATTGAAGCAGTGGATAAGAAAAATAAATTCCATCCAGGTGATTTTTAAGAGGCAGTGTCTTCATCCTGTTTCCTGCTGTGAGGCTTCAGCTCTGAGATGGAGTTGTTTCCATACAGGTTGTTACTCTCCAAAAATCCTCTTACTCTACACACACACACACACACACACACACACACTCACAAACAGTTGCACACACTGTCTCCCTCTCATTTTCTCATTCTCATTCTCTCTCTCTCTCTCTCTCTCACTCTCATATACTCACATACAGCGTCAATTTGTTTTCTCTGTGATGAGAGGGATTATGGGATAAAGGGGGTGAGGCCCAGGCAGTTTAGTTCAGTTCGGACCAAAGCTGCTCTTAGCAGCAACACAATAACAAACACAGATGAATGTCTGTCTACACACTGGAGATCTGCACAGACATTAACGCCACAGCATCTGTATATTTTAAGCACAAGAGCCTCTGATTCTGAAGTGGCGGTTGGATTCGTTTTTTTTTTTGGTGACTGATGAACAGCAGAAGTGTCTGAGTGACATCCGTGGGTGGCAACACAATCGAGAGGGCTTAAACTCAAAAGCCTAAGAGCGTTGAAATGGCTTCTAAGGATAACTTGAATGTCAGCTAATTTTAGCAAGAAAGCTTTGTGTATTTCTTAAGACAATTGAGGTACCATTAATAAACAGTTTTTCTTCTACACGGCAGCTGATGAACAGGATGACTGAGAGGGTCTGACATTATCAGCAGCAGATTTACTGTATTCTGTGAAGCTTGTGATGCATTTTTAACTAAAGACATTTTTCTTTTTCACACACTGTAAGCTATGACTTGAGTGACTGATGTATTCAACCTATCGACAGCACAATATGGATAGTGATTGGCTGGGTTCTTACGGTGATGATGTTCTTATCTAGTATGCATTTCCACCTGCTTAAAAATGTGCTAGGATATAACTGATGACTGCAGTTGGGCCCTGTAACTCAAATTCAAATTTGTGACACCCTAGCACGTGGCACCACACACAGTGGGAATATGTTGTGTAATAGAACGAAACTCATCTTCATGGTTTATGGCCATGAGAGGAAGCGGTCTTCAAAATAAACAGGAGAAGGAAGTGCAGAAATGCTTAAATTCAGTGGCGTTTCTGTGGCTTGATGATCTTTTATTGCATTTGTGATTTTTGTGGAAAGTTATGGGATGGGCGTTTATGATCTGTGCATGATTAGTCACTTTAGCATGGGTGGCACTGGAGATTTGAATTTGAGCTCGGCACAGTTGGTTCACGAGGATGATATGTTCAGGTTTTTCATAATTCATACTAAGGTGCCACATTGGAGCCAGCCTCTTCTTCTGTCACTTTCTGCTGTCTGCTCATTCCCAGTTTTCTGAAATCCTCAAAGACATTGCTAGCATAATCTGAATTAAGTAAACCAGATGTCACATCCATGTCTTTCCTCACTGCATATTTTGCAGAGCAACTGTCTAATGCAGCACTGCTTGTGCATACAGCCCTCAATCGCTTGTCTACAGAGCCAATGAGCTGGTATTTGTCTGCAGTCAATCGCACTAAGCAGTGCTATCTCACAGTGTAAGCCACATAGACACAAGAAGTCGCACTAATTGGACTGAGACATCTAACCAGAGCTGTACAGATTGTCTCTCATGTGCATTTATCTCCAGAGGGGGAAGAGTCATAATTTAACTTTTTTAAAAATGATTTATGTCTTAAAATATGTAGGTACAGGTACTGTGATGTTTATGTATGAAGTATGTTCTCTGTGGATCGGCTTCCTGTACAAAACCCTTCCAATGAATCTTAAGTTTTATTGCAGCTCTAGTGCAACATCTGTCTAAACTAGTAGTTTAATATAAATGTTTCTTAATGCTTGTTTTCTTTGAACAAGTGGCAATCTGCTAGTGGAGTGAAATAGTTCTAGTGTTTTAATTGTAATCTTTTTATGGAAAATTAGTAAAGTGAGCCATGTTACCAGCTTTCTTTCTCTGCCTTGATTCAAATTACTGGGCCTGGTTTTCTGAACAACAAGCAGTCCTTGTCTTGTTTTTCAGATAAAAGTGTATTTCACACTGAATATAAGAAGAAATCACTTAATTACCTTTCACAGTGCACTGGCAAAATCATATTTTTACAAACATGGACTGATCAAGCTTATTTCCCCATCCTTTGTGTTTTAGCCATAAGAACAAAATGTCAGGCTGGCCACCCCCTGGCCCAGGCTCCTGGGGAGGACTGCAAGGGCCTTCATACAGCTGGGACAGCATGAACAGCAGCAGGGATGGACAGGACTGCCTCATCAAGTATGTATGATCATCAACACCAAAATGCATGTGCTTAATGCAGAAGCAATCTATGCATTCACAAACTTCTAGTTCCCATACAGCAGTTACATCTGGTTACATCATGGTGACCCACTAGAGCATTACAGTGTGAATAAACAGACAAACAAGTGAAAATGCCATAAGCATTGAATCCCTTTGCACCATTTCCAAAACCTAGTTTATTCACTAGCATAGTTAAGGCATACGTTTATGAGCCGGTGTTGCAGGTAGTGTTTCATCTGCCCTTTCCTTTCTACATTCATGTGAAGTAGACGGGTCATTTAGCATTCTACAGTAGCTGTGTGTGCAGTGCCTTCTGTCAGTCTAAATTTGTCATGCAGGAAGAAACGTCCTGCCAGGAAAACATGCAAATCCTCAAGTCGGACTGTTGTTAAGAGTCTGGCAGAGAGAACATTATGCACAATGAATCCCACTACATGTAGTCACAGTGGAACAGACACTCCATGCAGATCTCTTATCGCCTCTATTTTCCCTTCAGACATTCCCTGCCTTCTATCCATTTTGCCTCCTTGACATCAGTTTCCTTCCCTTAGTCTCTCTGCTTTCCACACACTGGTTTTCTTGACTTCAGTGGAGAAATGCAGTTGTCTAACAGCTTTATGAGAAATGCACTATGCCTCATAGGTTTATATAGGATTCCCAAAAGCTGTGGAGTGCTTATTTTGCCTTTTTATAATCAATGTAAGTAAATGATTGTAACTCCACCATCACTCACCCATAAACCTTCCACAAACATTTTACCATGAGGCATGAGCTTGTATCCTCCATTTTTATAAATGTTGTTGTTCTTCTCTTTTTCTTCTCATCTCCTTTGTTTTTTTTTTCTTACCTTTTGTCTTTTCAGCCCCTTTCCTTTTCTCCTTTTTGTAACTCCCCTATTAAATTCTCCCTTCTCTCCTCATGTCGGGGGAGTCAAATATGACAAGGGTGACAGCTCTGGCAATGCGGCTTTGTTCTCAGAGAAAAGCTGCTGGCTTAAGAGGTGGTGACACAGATTGAGTTTCA